AAAAAAAAAAAAAAAAGTTTTTCTTGCAGTTTGAGTTATTGAAACATAAAATATTTCTAACTTTATTCTGTGCCTTCCTTTATAACTGAGAAACCATGGCGATTTCTATTACCAATTTCTTCTGCTTCTGTTTTTTGTCAGACATAAATCTTTCAGGGTAACAAATTTTAACAAAAAGGAACTGAATTATTTGTTTATTTGCATCTCAATTTATTTCTAACACTGTATAAAAATGACTTAAGATGTTAACCTGTTGGTCTCAGGTTGTCATTCACAATGACAGGGGTGTCAAACTCCAGTCCTCAAGGCCCGCTGTCCTGCAGTGTTTAGATGTGCCACAGGTAAAAAACAGTGGAATGAAATGGCTTAATTACCTCCTCCCTGTGTAGATCGGTTCTCCTGAGCCTTGCTAATGACCTAATTATTCTTTTCAGGTGTGGTGCAGCAGAGGCACATCTAAAAGTTGCAGGATAGAGGCCCTTGAGGACTGCAGTTTGACACCCCTGTCACTAGAGGACCCAAATTTGGGAAATCCGCAGAATGTGCCAATCTTCGTATCTGAGATCGTCAGAATAATCTTCTACTGAAATAATTATTAGAAAAGGCTCTATTTTTATCAGCCTATGTTAGATTGGATAGTGTATCATTTTTTGGACTTTGTCTGCCTATCTTTGTCTTCTATTAGAATAAATTTGATGACCTGGAACATTTAAGTGTGACAAAAATAGGAAAAAAACTTACTTTCTTCACACTTTGTACCATTTACTGACTCACCAGACACACAGTAGGTGTTACGTAAAGCCAGCAAATCTTCATCAGAGGCCATGGACGGTAACCAATCATGTCTTCGATGTTATCATAGAGACGATCTGCACCTGTTCAGGAAGATCAGAAACCAAAACATTTTGCACAGAGCACTAAATTCAAATTTTAAGGCACATCTAAAGTCAGATGGATTAAATCTTGTCCTTCACATTAAACTGAAACAAGAATGCCTTTAATAGTATACTAGCAATGTGCGCACATTTGCATATAAAATCTCAGTGGCAAATGCAATTTTGATAAATGCTGCACAGACAGTGTGTCTCTCTGGAGGTAAAAGGAGATCTGATCATGTCATACACACCCTGAGTCAGAAATTGATCCAATAAATACTCATGTTTTAATTTCATATGAAATATTTTGCATGTTTTTGTTACTTTATTTTCACTGTGGTTACAAAGATTGTGATTTAAATTGCATTTCCTGTTTAGTTGCTATGCATAATTTTGCCAGATTAACCTATTTTTTATTTTTTTTTTTTGCATTTGCCCTTTAGAGTTAAATTACAATGAACTAACACTTCACACGTGTCAAGCTATCGCAGGAAAGTCCACTGTAAGCTGGAACACGATCAGAAATTTTTTTTTAAGACTGCTGACTGACCGCAGCAGCCACTGCCTGTGGACACGCGGATCAGGACGGCTCTCTATGGGGAACAGCAGTAGGTGGAAGACGCTGGAGAACCTGAACAGTCCTCAGCGAACGGCGCCGGGTCTTGCAGCACATCCGGGATAAGATCACAAACGCATTCCAAGAACCACTGAGATTCTGTAACCTAATCATGCAGCTTTCTGAAGCAGCGGTGGAGTCAGAGCTTCAAACATGAGGTCATTACTGTCCGAAACCATCAGCGTTATCTGTGGCATTTTAATAAGGCCTTATCTAAAGCACAGTTATTAAATTTTCATATACTTTGATGTGTCAGCAAATTACATTAACCTGTTTTGTGACTTAGTCAGTCACGGACATGACAAATACAACTAAAACTGTTGGTTCTAGGTGCAAGTGAAGAATAAGAAAATCAGGAAGTTTTTTGGTTAAAGTTACTGAACTCATTATTAATCTGCAGAGCTGCGCATCTCTGCAGCTCCTCCAGAGTTACCACAGATTTCTCACCTTATTCGTTGGTCCTTTACAGAGTAGTGATGTATTGACATTAAATTGAGATCCATTTACTAATTAGGTGACTTCGGAAGGTAATTTGTTGCACTGGGTTTTATTTAGGGGCATCAGAGTAAAAGAGGTTGAACACATATGCATAACAATATAAAGGTTTCCTTCAACCTTGCATTATTACACTTCATTTTATCAGATAAAATCCCAAAAACTACTTTATTGAGACAAAGTTGTAGCAAGTTGTGGCATGACAAAATACACAAAAACATTGTTTTTCAAAAGCATAAATGCTTTTTCAAAAGCATAAATGCTTTTGAAAAACATTTGTTTATTCTTGAGGGAGTAAAGTGTTTTTTTTTGTTTTTTTTTGTACAGCTCTTCATAAGTACATCTATCACGTGTTTACTTACTTAAAAAAAAGAGAGACACAGGAAACCTTGTGTCTGTGTTTGACCTCAGCTGCACCACTCCACATATTTCTTAAAATTGAGTTTTTAAAATCTCCCCGTTGCAAAGCCTCTTTAAAAGCCTACGGGGTTGTTTTCTGGCCAAAGAATCTGTTTACAAGTTGTGCAAATGCAGCAGGAAATCTCAGGTTTTGGAAAGTATCAGTGTGAATAGCGCCATGTTTATGGTAGAGAACCACAAAGCCAACAACAAGTCGCTGATGTTCGTGATTTGCTGAAAATAGGCAAATGTTTCAGGACTGATTGCGTAACTTACCATATATCCATCCAATTGCTATGGATTGACACACTGAAAGTAGGAGAAGATTATTGCCGCTGCAAACATAATGATCAAAGAGTTGGAGGAAATATAAGCCCCCCTGCAGGAAGAAGAAAGGCTCACCGTCAGGTCAAACACAGAAGCAGAAGACTCAAATGTCCAAATGTTCAGAAACTCACACTTTCCAAACAGAAAGCTTAGTTATCGGATTGAGTGTGTTTGTTGACAGCACTGAGTTCTCACCTCTGTGACGAGAAGGAGGCCGAGAAAGAAGCAAACAGCGCAGAGACAAAGCAGCAGCAGTTCTCTGCGATAAGCTCTTCGAAACACAGAGGGGAACATATCTGTCACTGAGGTCATCAGGCACTCCAGGCTCACAAACTGATGAGACAAACACACAAATTAAAAACTAACAGACGTCACAAGATTAAACTAATATCAGACTTTTTGACTTTTTAATTCAGACGAAGTTGGGATAACGGTGTTTCCATCAGGCATCTAGATGGGCTGTGTAACACAGATGGACACGTTGAGAAGGTTTCCAGTATTTCCAGATTTTAAAAAGGCTCTTTTCTTCCTCCTAGCAGCTGTTAGACCATGTTTGATTTTGCTGCTTCCAGCAAAATCAAGACGTGTTTACATACATGCTGGCATTTGCACAGTCATTTTTCAATAGCATTTATGCTGTTAATGCACATCCGTTTGTCTGTGCTGCACTGATCATGCTGTATTATAAATTCCCTGTTGTGTTATTATTATTGAACACGCATGAACATTATGTACACTGAAAAAAGTCATCCGACTCAGCTGCACATTACTTGGATTGTAAATAGAATATTAGTAATTTTCTGATCTTATTTAGTATTTTCTGAGAACCAGAACTTTTGGTTTTGCATAGGAAACCCAATTATGAGCACAGAGGCCATTAAAGATTTTCTTTGAGGTATCTAACCTGTGTTTACCATTTCTGTGTATCCTTTATATTGCAAATGTTCTTATCTTATAGTTTATTTTCTCTTGTCATGTACTCAGTTGTATTTTATGTCAACACACATACAAACAAACAACAAAAAAAGAAAACATGAGCAGAGTGCTAACCATTGGAGCCAGCAAGCAGTGAAAATAATCCATGTTTGATAAATAAATAAATAAATTCATTGGGATATTGTCAACATTTACCTGTGTGTCTGCACCCAACAAGATGACCATGACGAAGAAACAAACAGCCCACAGCTGAGGCAAAGGCATCATGGCTACAGCACGAGGATAGGCAATGAATGCCAAGCCGGGTCCTGTTGGAAATAGTGCAGTATATTAAAATGCAAAACAAAAAAATAACTGTCATTTTCACCCTACGTACTGGAAACATGAAGTCAACAATGAGCTGCAAGACTGGGGATAAGTAGCTTAATGACTATGTGCTTAAGTTTCTCTCTCTAAATATCTCAGTATATTTATTGGGACCTACACTAAAATCATGTAATATCTGATTTCAGAAATATTATTCTAGTAATGTTTGAGTTCAGCATATTTAAAATTTTACTTTCCCAAACATGTTCAAACCATGATGTTCTCTGAAATCAATAATCCTGCATATTAAATCAAAGTGGTACTGATCACGGGTGTGTTAGATTTTCAAACAAAAGCGGACGTCTCACCAGAAGCAGCCACCTGGGATATCGGCAGTCCTTGTTCATATGACATAAATCCCAAAACAGAAAAGATGGCAAACCCAGCCACAAAGCTAGAGCCGCCGTTCACCAGACACAGAACAAATGTGTCCCTGCGGATGCAGACCACAATATTTCTCATGTTTGAAAACAAAACTAAACAGACGAAAAACAATTATAAATTCCACAGAAAATACGTCATATAGTTGATTGCAACATTTAAAATGTGTTTTCAGCTCTAACAATTTAAGGTTTTAAATTATACAGTTTACTAATGAAAATAAAGAACATTCAAGTTACTTTCCCAGAACTTATAATGTAGTTTTAGATTCCTTTCCAAATTACTTTCCCTAATTACTTTATGGTAACTTTTCCGTGGCTCGGTGTTCACCAGCCGACACGGACTGAACGACTTTGTTCACTTCCTTTGCTACTGTTGATAAAGTTACAGACAGACTACAATTATAAAACAGAAAATAGACATCATCGTTCACAACTTCTCCTTCTGTTCGCTGATTGGCCCATTTCAAATTCTACCAGAGGAATCCAGGTGAATGGGAGAAAGTCTAGACCAGGGGTCCCCAAACTTTTTCCTGTGAGGGCCACATAACTTTTCCTTTCTCTGGTGGGGGGCCGAAGTCAGTTTGTAACAGAAAAAGTGTGACGATTGCAGAAGTGCCTAAATGTAAAAATTTATTGTTTTCCAGAAAGCACAATCAAATAACCCTCTATGGGTTCTTCACAGGAAAAAATCCAGAAAATGATACTATTTATCATTCTCTTCCGCTCCAGGTTTTCCACAATTCAGAAGAGGGGGGCGGACACCCAACATTTGAGTAATAACAGGTCAAATGAATATCACATTTATTACGGTTGAAAAAGAAAAAGTTGCCAAGTTTAGATTTAACTGAACTGATTACAGTAGTTTTCGAACGGTAACTGTAACGGTAAAAGTCCTGATCCTTCATGTCTGCTACTAGCATGTGCTAAATGAAAATGGGCTCTTTCTTCTTCTTCTTGTTCTTTAGATTTCAACAGCAGCTTGCATCCATAATTGTTGCACTACTGCCACCTACTGGATCCTAATATCTATACCTCAAATTCTCATAATGAAAACGAAAAATCTTCTTTTTCCCCTCAATGCTATTTAACTGATCAACAACATTCTCAAATTTCAATTCCCTATTAAAACCTAATTCCATTTTAATGGGCGCTTTCTTCTTTTATTTCCAATTTTGACTTCCATTTGATTCACTTCCTGTTAAAGAGCCCCCTGGTGGTTGAAGAAAAATCCACATATAAGCCGCACTGGGCTATAAGCCGCAAGGTTCAAAGCTTAGGAAAAAAGCAGCGGCTTATAGTCCGGAAAATACGGTATATGAAAAAAAATCTGAATGCTCTCTGGTATTGTTCAGGGGGCCGGATCCGGCCCGCAGGCCGTAGTTTGG